CCAGGTTGCTGTAGAAATGTGAGTGTAAGGTCTTCCGTCTGCACCATGACGCGGTAGCCCACAGAATCATCTTTCTTCAGAAAGGCGTGGACATATAACTAAAGAACAGACCAACCAAATTAACCTACATCAAAATGATTGGCCAATAATCGGATAAATATATATACTTCAGCATCAGTCCTCACTCTGTTTGGCTTTCCTCCATTAGGGTCCATGTGGTAGATAATGGTGGTATCAAGGTGCCTCCGCCCTGTGTCAGCACTGAACAGGTTGATGCTGCAAGCCTTAGAATAAGTAAGAATAACAACAGATTAAGATACAAGTACAAGACGTTTTTGTATCGTGTTTGAAATGTGACTCACAGTATCATTCTTTGGGGACATCACAGCAGCAACTGTCCTCTCTCCAGATGTGGCAAAAGCAGCCAGATATGACTGAAATATGAAGAACATTGGGTTTTAGACTTTGAATAAAGAGTAATTTATAAAAATTTCTGTAACCAATATAGTTTTGTGAATGGGAATTGTAAGGAATTTAATGATTCTGGTCCTGTTTCACTCTTAGATGTGTGAGACGCATTAGTTCTTACTGGATTGAAGTCTCGGAGCGGTGCGATAAGGCCGTCTATGAACTGCAGCAGAATGTGATGATCTGGACTGAGCTGCAAGAAGAACTCAGAGAGAGGAGGCTGTGCTGGATTGGGTTGAGTGGATGTCAGAACAGGCCGAAATCCAGACACCACCTCCAAATCTAGCATCTTTGAAAAGAGGAGCCACCCAGGATGTTATAGACGGTTACAGAAGTTTGATGAAGGACTGTACATTAAATACAAGCGTAGCGCCATCTGCACCTGGAGGTGGATCTGTCTCATTTCTGTCTGTTCTGCAGACTGCAGTGGTAGAGTGTACAGAGACTGTGTGATCTGATCCACACACAATAGGATTCCTGAGCTGACGACTGCACAGCTGCTCTCCAGGCTTGACATCCATACGGCTTCAACTGATTTCTAAGAAAAAAACCGTGTGATTGTATTATTATCCAAGTAATTGACTCTTTCAATAAGAAAACTGTATTATTGTGTATTATTATAAGAGAAGATTTTTAAGTTCTTTTTAAAAGAAGTTTCTTATGCTCACCAAGGCTGCATTTATTTGATCAGTAAAAACAGTAATGTTATATTATTACAAGCTTATATTATATTATTACAACACTATAATAATACATTTTATTACAATTTAAAATTATAATATATTTATATCTATTTTTAAGTGTAACTTATTCCTGTGCTGGCAAAGCTGAATTTTCAGCATCATTACTCCAGCGTTAAGTCTCACATGATCCTTCAAGAATCATTCTAATATGCTGATTTGCTGCTCAAGAAACATTTCTTATTACTATAAAAATTTTAAATAGTTTAATATATGATTAAATATGCTTAATATTTTTGTGGAAACGATGATACCATGATTGAACAAAAAATTCAAAATAGCAGCATTCATTCAAAATATAAATCTTTTGTAACATTATAAATGTCTTTACTGTCAGTTTTGATCAATTTAATGCATCCTGCTGATTGAAAGCATTAATTTCTTTTGAAAAAAAAACAAAGTAAACTCCATACCTTGTTCATGATTTCTCCATCTTCAATTTTGTATTCAACAATAACAATATGGGAGTTTGGCACAACTCCCAAAACAAACACCACTCCATTCCCACCAGAATAAATAGTTTGATATTGAACAGAGTCACTGTGGGATGCAAAAAGATGAATTCACATAATTACAGCAATGAAAATCCTTTAATTTCAAAATAATAACTGCAATAAGAATTTGCAAAAAAAAAAAGCTGTTGTGTTGAATTCCACGATTTCTCATCACCTGTCAGGTAGGTTTTCCACCCATATCTGGCTGCCACTTGAAAGGTCATGGAGAGAGATTGCTGATTTCTTCAGCACAGCAACATACTTCACAAGGTCTTGAACTCCAACTAAAGCAGCAGCTTGAAAGCTGTGGCCAGAAGTGGACACTGTCAGTTTGATGCATCAGTTAATCCTAATACTGTCACAATAAAACGTACACAACATACAACCTTCCTGTATCAAGCACTGTCTCCCACTTCAAGCCACCGACTGTGGTCTCCCAGGAACGAAGCAGACGGCCATTCCCGACAACAACAACAGCATCTAAGAGACAAGAACAGTTTCAGAGGCAAAACCAAAGCCTAATTCAACAACGCACATGCTTTCTGCTGCGTGCTTACCCTGTCCATACATAAGCAGCGCATCAATATGGCCCTCTGGTCCGGTCTTATCTACATGACGCCAGACTGCAAGAACCAAAAACATTTCACTGACACCGTAAAATGAATGAATCATACAAACTTTTCCTGATTTCTTCAGCACAGCAACATACTTCACAAGGTCTTGAACTCCAACTAAAGCAGCAGCTTGAAAGCTGTGGCCAGAAGTGGACACTGTCAGTTTGATGCATCAGTTAGTCCTAATACTGTCACAATAAAACGTACACAACATACAACCTTCCTGTATCAAGCACTGTCTCCCACTTCAAGCCACCGACTGTGGTCTCCCAGGAACGAAGCAGACGGCCATTCCCGACAACAACAACAGCATCTAAGAGACAAGAACAGTTTCAGAGGCAAAACCAAAGCCTAATTCAACAACGCACATGCTTTCTGCTGCGTGCTTACCCTGTCCATACATAAGCAGCGCATCAATATGGCCCTCTGGTCCGGTCTTATCTACATGACGCCAGACTGCAAGAACCAAAAACATTTCACTGACACCGTAAAATGAATGAATCATACAAACTTTTCATTGCTTTTTAATTTTGATTATATTTCCAAAACCCAAGATTAATACATTTGGTATTCAGATAATTAGTTAGCTCAACCATGGTGAATAATAAAGACGAAGTAATGAAGAGGAATTAGGATAGATACTTTTGATCTTAAATATCACTAATACCTTTTCTGGTGTTAAAGTTTGTTTGTAACTATAATGTGCATAATAGCTTAACCCTTAAAGAGACAGCTCACCCAGAAATTAAAATACTGCCATCTTTAAACGTTGGTAACCAAACAGCTGCAGCTCCAACTGACTTTCATTGTATTTTTTTTGTTGTCCTTATAATGAAAGTCAATGGAAACAGAAACTGCTGGGGTCCCAACATTCTTCAAAAGAGTTCTTCCCTGTTCTGCATAAGGAAGGAAGTCATACAGATTTGTAACAACATAAGGGCTTGTTAAACAATCACAGAATTGACATTTTTGGATGAACTACCCCTTTAATGAAGCAACCACAAATAATTTCACAATGCATTTTTTTTTTGGATGGACTGTCCGTTTGCATTGTAACTAAATAACCTAATAAATATCTTAATAATAAAGAAGAGACTAGCCTATCACAACAAAGCTCATCTACATAGACGTTACAGCAATAAAACAGCATCTTTAGATTCAAATGGTTAACCCTTTAATGCACAAATTTTTAAAATGACATTTTATTCAGGTCACAGGCTTCTTTTTTTTAAAACACATTTTAATTGCACATTTGTCCACGTCAAAAGAAGACAGAAATAATTATTCCAGAAGTATGATGCATACCTTTGTCAGCAGTGTTAAAGTTATTTTGTCCAAAAGAAAAAATATTATTAAAAAAGAATTATGGGTAGTGGTCAAAAGTTGTCAAATGGTGGTTTATAACTGTTTTTGGTGCAACACTGTTTGCTGAAATCAGATTATGGACGCTCATTCTGTCACAGTCTAATAACCAATAAACGCTTATAATCAGATTCTGACTGTAACTTTTAGAAGCCTCTATAAGTTTCAACGTGAAAAGACAGGCAGATGAGCTGAAAGACTTACACAGGTCTCCAGTCCTTGAATTGAGGGAAGCAAACACGTTCTTGTCAGTTGCCACCAGGAGCTTTTTAGACGCTTGAGAATGAGTGTCAAACAAGGCAAAACGCACCTTGCCGATAAACTGTTGCCTCCTGAAAGAAATCGCAGGGAGTTCAGAGTGATGTTAGCACATGATGACTGATCAGCCCGGTGTAGCCGACATCAGTCAGCAGCCTGCTTAAAATCCCGGCTGTTTATACAGTCGCAGAAATCCCACAAAAGATTATATGCCAAACCAACACACATCTATAAATTCCGTTTACATACCAATCAAACTTTCCAACTTGGTCTTCAAATACCGCCGACGCAGCATATAATAAAGACACAGATATTGCTAATCTGACTACAAGCCAAGCCATTGCTGCAGAGGAACAACTCCCACAATGCTCTGCGGTTAAGGACCCAAATAGCCAACCTTTAATAAAACTAGAAAACATGTATTTAGGCATTCTTTCCATCCTATAAGAGGTTAGAATTTAGTTTAGTTTTTGATATACAAAAAATACTTTTAAAATGTAATTAAATTGATCGGTGTGAACTGCTGCTCAACAAATTAACATCAGGCATTCGCGTGAGCTTCCTATAGACTGCATTTAAAATGCTTCTTAAAGGGTCATGCACAATATATAAACAGTACATTAACTAATATAATACTATAGAAGTTGTTATAAAATATGAGTGAATGTAATTAAATTGATCGGTGTGAACTGCTGCTCAACAAATTAACATCAGGCATTCGCGTGAGCTTCCTATAGACTGCATTTAAAATGCTTCTTAAAGGGTCATGCACAATATAAACAGTACATTAACTAATATAATACTATAGAAGTTGTTATAAAATATGAGTGATATTATAAAATGCCAAAAAGAAGATTAAAATGATCTTGTAAGACCTGCAGAAGTTGTGTCCCAAAGTTCTTGAACTATCATTTTTAGGCAAATTATTAAATACATTAAAGAATTATTACTTATTTTACCATATAAATATAAAATGTAAATATAGATAGTATCGTGATACACTTTGGAACCTTTTTCGTGTGACTTTGTATATGGTTTATTAATGTATTTCCATGTGAATCAACATGGAAACGAGGTGCAGTTTTCTAATAGGATATGGTCTGTAAATATTCTATGACATGTCCATCTAAATGATTTTGTCCTGCTTTATTTGTGGGTTTTTAAATCGTCCAGTTTTACTGTAGTGCAGTTTAGGCCATTAGGTGGCAGCAAATTAAATATAAAGTCAATTCCCTTGGCAATTATTAAAGTTTGTACCTTTATGCAGGTGTTCAATGTTTGCTACTGCTCAAACGTGGTTGCTAAACTCATTGCAAAAACAATTATAACCCAAATCGACTGACCTCTAACGACTCTGTTATGTTTAAGGATTTTGGCATCGTGTTTTAGCATGCTCAATGTTTACGTTTGCGGGCAATGCAACTGAAGAAAAAATGCTATTAAAAACTATTTGCCTAGGGCTACAATTAATTGAAACATTTTTAGAGAGATGGGGGAAAAAGCTAAGATACACTGCTCATCATTAACCCATGATAACCTTCTCTAAAATATCCCTCGTAGGTCCACGCCTGCCCCATCCGTGCAACACGTTACTGTAAATGCTATTAGTAAACACTCCCAGACATGCGGTTCCTTCTCAGCTGTATGCTGGCTTCCAGATGAAGCAGCATGAACACTCGCAGTTGAACCTGTATGGAAAAGTGTTGTGAGGCTCTATGACATGGATATACACGCTGTGATGTTATTATTCCTGCTTTCAGAGATCCGTTCATCGTGCTGTCATCGAGCTCTGCAGCCTTTTATGTAAGTAGTATTGAGATAAATTACATTTTAGTCATGTTTATTATTTTAATTTCGCAATTTTATTGACTGCATGAAGATTATTAATTATTATGTGCACAAAGTGTTTCTTTTCTTGCATATGAAATTTCAAAATTAAACTTCTTTTTTCCTTACAGAATTAATAATGTATTAATAAGTTTAAATTATATCTTATATAGTGTGTGCTATACTATATAACGTAGTATATAACATTTAAATGTTTAATTTAAATTAGTAGTTTTATTAAACAATTCAGTATTTGTTTAGGTTAAATATACACAGTAAAAGTCACCATTAAAATGTAATTTATTATTATTGTTATTATTATTATTATTATTATTACTGTATTCATTACAAATCTATTTCCAGTTATTTTGTTCTAAAAGACTTCAAAACAGAGTAGTTGATGTAAGAGGTGCATTATGCACTTGAAATGGAAAGTAATCCTTTCATTCTTCTTTGTTCAGGCCAAATGTCTGCTCAGAACAAGAGAGAATCATAACAGCTGAGAAACAGCCATGTGTACATACTTTTACACGTATGGTGAAGGTTTGGAGGCAAGGATGCACAAGTCATGCTTGGTGTATGGACTATGTAAGGAGGTACATATTCATTTGACTTAAATATCCAGTTAAACTGCTGTCAGATTTAATAAGAAACAAAATAAAATATTTTGAAAGTTGGCACTAGATTTTACAAATAGTAAAGAGTCCCTCTGTCCTGATTCACTATCAATAGTCATTTTTACCCTGACAGCCATTTCTCATTGGCACACCTTTCAGTGTCAGCCGACATCTAGCCGCTTTTGAGAATGGGCAGAGGGCTAGAGAAAGACAGCAGTTAGAAACTGATCCTTTTGTTGATAGACGATGGTTATTAAAGGTCTCAGATGCTTTGTGAAACAAAAGGAAGCTCAAGACTCCTAAGAGCCATCAACCCTCTTGGCAATTATTGAAGATCAGTGAATAGCCCTCATTAAACAGGCACTGGGCTTGCTAAATGTTGCCATTGCACTGAACAAATGCTGAACTAATTGGGGTTTAGAGCAATCTGTTTTTTTAAGCCTTTTATTACACAGCTCTCTGAACTACTTGTGGAATTCATGGCCTAATGGTTAGAGTCGGACTTGTAACCCAAAGGTTGTGGGTTCGAGTCTCGTACCGGCAGGGATTGTGGGTGGGGGGAGTGAATGTACAGCGCTCTCTCCCACCTTCAATACCATGACTGAGGTTCCCTTGAGCAAGGCACCGAACCCCCAACTGCTCCCCGGGCGGTGCAGCAAAAATGGCTGCCCACTGCTCCGGGTGTGTGTTCACTGCTGTGTGTGTGCACTTAGGATGGGTTAAATGCAGAGGACTAATTCCTAGTATGGGTCATACTAGGGTCAACATACTTGGCCACATGTCACGTCACTTCACTTAAAATACTTAATTTTGTGAAACGCCATGCTATTTTCCTCAAATTTTACTGAACTAGTTTTATAGTAATCATATTTATATCACTTTGTAGGACTGCCTACTACATAGGCTACAGACAAGTCTACAGACAAGACTTTAAGACTACATACAGATGCTGTCCTGGATGGTCCCAGCTCAATGCAGAGGCAGGCTGCCTCTATCGTAAGTATGTTCACTGTCAGGTCTGTCCTATTTCTAATCAGACTTCCAAATGACATGAAAAACTAAAAATATAGGCCCTAAAAGTTAGTTGACAAGGTGTGGATCTGTAGGGCTGAGGTTAATGATTCATGAACATCATTCACTGAAGGATTGTGTAGTGAATGGCTTACATGATTAATGAGATTCCTGTTCTTCTCCGGAGATTCCATGAGAGGGATTCCGGCTTTGTTGCTAATGTCAATCATTTACAGAAACTTTTCATCAGATGCTCATTTTGGGGACCAGCAACATTTCAATAGACTCTTTCGCTGCGTCCGAAATCGCATACTTCCATACTATATAGCAGGCGAAAAAATCTTGGTTCTGGATGGTTCAGGATTGTTGTTCGGGCAAAGTGGAACTGTATATTCTCTAAATATCAAATAGTAAATCATTGTGCTCTGGATTTAGTCAGTGTTGTGTTGAAATCGATGAGAACAATGATGTTTTGAATGGTTAGTCCACATTGCTAAGTCTCTTGTGGGTGTCTTACTACTGTCACTTCTGCTTTATTTTGTGCAGTGATTTGCCCTTGATGACATGGCATGGCATGTTTTTGCATTTTATAAATGACGTGGCAGCCTAAACATGTTTTAATTCTTTGAGGCCATAAAAAGGCAGAGTGTAGCTTCTCATTAATGGCTTTGTAAGAATCTGGAAGGCTTAGTATAGTGACCTCTTCTTGCAGTGAGCTAGGACACAATGCACCTTTGTGATCATCAAAAGACAGCTGTAGGTGGAGGACATTAACTGTAGATTTCAGTGCAATGAGTTTGGTGAGTATCTCAGGGTAAATCACTGGCTTTTTGGATCACCCATAGATCTTGCATAGATCTTCATTCTGCAATATCCTATCATATGAATGATACCATAATCAGGTAATGAGAGTGAATTGCTCCTGTCAGAAGTTCAGTAATCAACAGTTCGAAGGTTTTTTTTTTATTTTTAAATGCCAGCAATTTTTAGAGCAGTCTTAATATCAAATAAAGATGGTATGGTCTTTTTGCTTGCTGGATGAACAGGCTGTCAAATCAACACAATATGAGTTTGTGGATCTGTATCTGTGAAACAAACAAAAAAAAATATTTATGCTCTTCCTCACAGAAAATTGATTTACTATTGTAAAATTAATTAATTAATTCATTCATTTCTTTTCTTTTCTTTCTTTATTTATTAACTATGATAACAGTTATAAATCAAACTAAAACTACATGGTAGGATATAATTCTTTATCTGGTTCTCTCATTTACTGTAATTGATATAGCAGCTGGATTGCTATAACAAACATAATATTATAAGTGATTTGTCATTATCACTGCTAAGTGAAATAAAGCAAATCATGCATAATTTGATCATGTTGTTGAACCAACTTTTAATATTTTCTATGAAGATGTATTTCCATTGTAGAACGATTTGCTTGACTGCCTGCTTCTAAATATTTTTTTCTGCTCCAGCTGTCTGCACTTACAGAGACTGCTTTAATGGGGGTGTGTGTACGGGACACTTGCATCAACTGTGTGACTGCCCCCCAGGATTCAATGGATCCAGCTGTCAGTATGGTGAGTACACAGGTTATCTGTGCTTTGAACTAAGGCTCTATCTCATTCTTATAGCACTCAGTGAATATTAGTTGGCATGTGTGATGAATTTTAATTTTAAGACTGTGTTCCATCGCTGTCATGGCAACTCTTAAATGAAAGGCTGTTTTTCTTCCTTCCTGTGCTACTGCAGAGAGATTCAGCATGTCATGTGTGTCTCGTGTGACCACACTCTCAGTAACAATGTGCAAAAATTGTACCAAAACGTTGTCCCTATACAGTGGTGTGAAAAAGTGTTGGCCCCCTTCCTTATTTTTTTGCATGTTTGTCACACTTTAATGTTTCAGATCATCAAAGTGAGACCTGCAGTTCTTGGATGTTGTTATAGGGTCTTTTGTGACCTCTTGGATGAGTCGTCGCTGTGCTCTTGGGGTAATTTTGGTCGGCCGGCCACTCCTGGGAAGGTTCTCCACTGTTCCATGTTTTTGCCATTTGTGAATAATGGCTCTCACTGTGGTTCGCTGGAGTCCCAAAGCTTTAGAAATGGCTTTATAACCTTTTCCAGACTGATAGATCTCAATTACTTTCTTTCTCATTTGTTTCTGAATTTCTTTGGATCTCGGCATGATGTCTAGCTTTTGAGGATCTTTTGGACTACTTCACTTTGTCAGGCAGGTCCTATTTAAGAGATTTTTTTGATTGCGAACAGGTGTGGCAGTAATCAGGCCTGGGTGTGGCTAGAGAAATTGAACTCTGGTGTGATAAACCACAGTTTTAACAGGGGGCAAACACTTCTTCACACAGGGCCATGTAGTTTTGGATTTTGTTTTCCCTTAATAATAAAAACCTTCATTTAAAAACTGCATGCTGTGTTTACTTGTGTTATCTTTGACTAATATTTAAATTTGTTTGATGATCTGAAACATTAAAGTGTGACAAACATGCACAAAAATAAGAAATCAGGAAGGGGGCCAACACTTTTTCACCCCACTGTATGTGGGTATTGCCCCAGTGACAAGCTTTTGTACCCCTACAGATAAAATTTTTGGACCTTTTTTTTTGACAAAGCAGAACAAATATGTTTAGGATGTTACAATGAATCTATTCATGGGACAATAGATTTGACATATTAACATACTTTGTAGAATTTAAATATATATATTGTTTTTTATTTAGACAAAATCATATAGAATTTAAATTAATCTTGTATCATTGGCTGTGATTGCTTTGTGTGCGTTGTGAAAATTGTTAATCTCACCTAGTTTAGACACCGTGCTAGTTAAATGAGTTAAATGAGTTCTAACAGTTTTAAAAAATGCAAGGACTTTGGCAATTTACTGCAGCTTGTGGGACATATTTAGTATATTTACTGTAAGTCACACAATTACATGTTACATTGATTGTAAAAGCTACTTTTTAGCACTCTATAGTGTAGCAGAACTTTATATTTCATTCACTATCCTGTTTCACTGCACTTTTCTGTGAGATTCAATATGCTATGAATGCACCTCCAACCACTGTATCAAAATATATGTTGTCCTCCCAAAGGGCTTCTCACTTTCATTATTGCATCCTGTGGACTTCTCAGTCAGTTCATTCTGCTCTACTCATTTTGTTCCTCAGCACTACCATTGCTTTTGTATAGAACAGCCTCCAGGTGCATCAGTAGAACATAACCACTCTAAGGTCACAGCAGGGCTGACGGGGCAGTTAAATCCCTTTCCTTACACTGTAGGATCAGTGTTCCCTTATGGCACTTCTGTGAAAATGAGTGTGAGAATACAGTTCTGGAAGAGAGTCAGGCTTCTCTGTGAAGTGACTGTGATTTAGAGCAGATCTCTGGAGGATTCGGGGGTCCTTCTGCACAGCTGCATTGTCTGTGCGGGTGGGAAATACATGCAGGTTACCAAAGACCTTCTGGCTGCTGCAGAATGTGCTAGAAAATAAGGCAGTGTAGAGCATGGCGTGTAATTTGTGTTTCAGACAAACTACAGGGGTGTTAGATGCACTGAGGTGTAAAATGTAATTTAGTCTCACAATAGGCCTAAATATTCAAAGATCTGCTCAAAAGGTCTTGGTGTTGTAGAGTTGCAAAAATTTTAGAGAATAAAAAAACAAACAAGTCACTGATTATATTGCTGCATTTGATATCTTCTGTTAAGTATTTTCTAATATCAGTAGATATTAGTTTAGTTTGCTGCTGTTCGTTGCTATGTTTTTAACTCGAGTTACAGTTTTATAAACAAATAATCATTTATGTTTAATAAAAAAAACTAGTTTGCATGTCTTAGCTTTTTTTCTGGTTAATCTGCTCTGCTATTGGTTTGTTATGTGTTTAAAAAGTTATGGCCCCCTAAAGTAGCCTCAGTGTAGTTATTGTTTGGTGGTGTGTAATGTTGCTAACTACTTTTTGTCAAAAGAACAGCTTGACTTCATAAACTTAAAACCATTCAATTGTAGCATAGCATGCTACAATGACAAAATAGCTTTCCATCACTGCAGTGCCTAGCAAATTGGCAGTTTTTAACACATTTAATAAGTTTGTTATGCTTATTTTACTAGTCCTGTTTTTGGCTTTGGTAAAAAGGTAATCAGCACCCTGCACTCTGATGTTCTTCTGAGACACCATCAAAAGTGGCCAATGATAAAAGTTTGTGTTGTAAAGTAAGTATAGCTGACAGAGCCCACAGGACGAAAGCCAACTATGTGCAGACACATCCTGCCGGAAGAGTTTTATAATACCGGGTGCAGAAGTGTCTTACAGACATAACGTTAACTAATGCTGACAGGAAAAAGATGATCCTGCTGATAATTATGAGCTCTATTTAAAAGATAGATAGGAGAACATGGGGATGTTGGGAGATTTTTGTTCTTTATCCTCCAGATTTTCATTTAAGTTACATACTAGATTAAATGATAAAAATACTAGAACAATGATGAAATACTAGAACAGATCCATTAAAGCAAATTATTTTTCATAAAAAAGGCTTAATCTATTTGGGAAAGTTTTCCTTAATTTACGTTCCACCAAAACTGTTGTTGTTTCCAACTTGTGAAAATTTGAAAAACGTGAAAAAGATTTGATGTGGTTTTTGGAAAGCTCCACAAAGAAACAATGGAATCGCAAAAATGCTGGATTGTTTGTTGAGATGAGTATGGTCAATATCACAGAAATGTAATTCCATTTTTATTGTTTAAACACTATCTCACAGTTTCCGTCTTGCCAGTATTCCGTTTTTTCCAAAGGGATGCTATGTGTTATTTGCAAAGCTAACTTATAACTGAGAGAAAAGACTGAATATGAGAGGAAAGCCTGAGATTTTCTAATCATTCAGAGTTCTGAAAAAATCCAAGAATAACAACAGGATGCATTCTGAATTTGTTTTTAGCAGTAATACCTGCAGCTTTAAAGCAGCACTATGTAACCTTTTCTGTGTTCAAAATTTGCTAAATGTATATAATGAGCGAGTAGTACATCATGAATTCAGTGTACAGTTCTGTTTATTAACCGATAGAGCGCCAAAAGTTACATAGTGCTGCTTTAACGGTCATTGAGAGTGTGATGTGAGATGATTCTGACTGCTCAAGTTGTGCTACATTAGTAGCCCTAAATGGTGATAATGGACATTAAGTTTATTGCTTTTTTTAAATCATACCCTTGTATGTAATTGTAAGATATTTGTTTTCCTTGTTTGATGCACGATTACTAGAAATAATTTTCTTCAAGACCATTGGAATTTCAAATTATACTCTTCTGGCCTCCTCTGCCCTCATTCTTTTTAGTCAAATGGTTGTATTGGACACACAAACCTCAGCAGGTGGTCAGTCTTCCTCTCCAGGTCTGCTGCTTTGTGAAGATTGCATGTGATGCAGTCCAAGAGGCTACAGGACTCATAGTTATGGGCATGCTGTTACTAACGTCTAGGTTACTTGTGTAACCCTCGTTCCCTGAAGGAGGGAACGGAGACGTTACGTCAGTGACTGACGAATTGGGATCTCGCCCGAGAGCCCAATCACCTTCGAGTGTTAACTAAACAAGCCAATGACAGTTGGCGTGCGTGTTTCGCCACGCGCACCCCGCCCCGCAGCGCGGGTATAAAAGGAGAGCGCGTGCCGACCACATCCAGAAACGCACGAGCGGGAAGCCATCTTTAAAAAGACGCCCGTCGCTCGTGAAGCTCTTTTAGAAATAGCTCTTTTAGAATTTTTGGAAACACTCTTTTAGAGAGAGCGATGAAGCGCCCAGGGGAGGTCGCAGCAAGACCACAGAATGAAAGCTGCAGCCCACCAAGATTTCAGCAGCCTGAATGGCAACCCCCGCTGATACGCCGTCACACCAACGCCAGCTGTTTCTCTCGAACACTCGCGGAGATTAGTCCTGTAGAAGGCTCGGCTCCGAAGCGAAAAGCTGATGTGCGTTTGCACGCGCTCTCCTTTTATACCCGCGCTGCGGGGCGGGGTGCGAGATCCCAATTCGTCAGTCACTGACGTAACGTAGAACGTGACTGACTGAATGGGAACCCCTTTTGTCTCGTGTGTCTGATGGAATGACTCTCATTCCTTTAGTCAAATGAAGTGTTCGATCGGCTGTCCCTTTATGACACTCACATCGTTGAGCAAACCTTACATTAAACCAACCAGAGATGTGACCCCAGAGCTCTCTAAGCCCTGATAGTGATCGCTGAATGTCAGAACAAATGTTTGGAGAATCAAATCTTTTTAGTCGCAGCACAGCTGTGGTATTCTTTCACACTCCTCAGGCATCGGTCACACCACATGTATCAGACTGGAGGAAACGTTTTGGCTGAAAGTTAGTGGCAATCATCAACAACAGGACAAAAGAAAATCCTCAAATCCCAGTTCTTAATGTATGCCAAGTGCTTAATGCAGATTTAAGAACATCTTGGGAATTGTTGTCTTCAATTGATGGTACAACAAAAGCCCTTTCTTTTACAGTTATGGCATTATCCATTTTGTCCTGATCTGATATTTTATCATTCCAGGAGATGAACGGTTTTGGT